GTGTGACATTATGTTACAGAATTACATGCTTATGATTTTTTTAATAAAAGATTTTATAATAAAAAGGGGCATTATTTGTGTTGGACCCTGTAGTTACATCCATCCGTATATACATACAGTATGGTAAAGTAGTAAGAATGGGTAATGAACGATTCAGGCATTTAAGTTCATTAACCTGAGTATCTAAAACTGAAAGTATAATATAATCTATTTTAAGGAACACTGAATGTTATAAATTAGCAAAGATTCAAAAGAAAGCACCTGGTGGTACCTGTTTATCAGATGAGCTTTATCTCAACAGACGATTGTATTATTGCAAATCCTTAACAAGCAAGTAATCTTAGAAACAAACAATAGAAAAATCATCATAAATGGGTCCTTGTGTGTTTTAACAGACTTTCACAATACACAAGCTGAAGATGCCAGACAAAGAAATCACTTTTAAAAGAAATATGAATACTTGGGAAACAAATGTCCTTATTAGGGTACTGACAAAACAGAGGAAGTTGTCATGAGAGGAAGATGTAGCCCTGCAATTTCAGCCTTAGAATATGAAACAGAACATTCACCAAATGCCAAGTTTTCAGCACAGATTCTGCACAATAATACCCTCTTTATTCAAAATTTCTTGGTACTCAAGGTTCTAATAATCTCCATTTCTGTTTCCCAACAAAGTTGTGCCAAGTATAATCAGATTTGAACAAAACTACTATGGACACTGTATTCTCTAAAGTATGGAAATTTACAATAAAAGAGATTCAAAACAAATCTACATGCCCTTAAGGTAGACAAGAAAAATCTCTTACACATAACTCCTGGGTGTTGCTGCATTTGTCAGTAAAAGCTCAAAGACAAAAGAGGGGAAGTGAAATAAAAAGCATATAGTGAGAAAACAAGCTGTCAAAAAATTTAGTTGTAACAGTATTATTTTCAATAAAACCAGTAATTTGAAATGCATTAATTTTGCCAATCAGTTAAATTGGAATGTAATGAGAAAAGCATCCTGAAAAATTACAAGCAAACGGTACATTCTTCACATAAGGGCAAGAAAATGCTTTAAACTTATAAATTATCAATGATAGGTCTTTGCTGTTGGTAAGCACGATTGCAGACACTCAAGTGCAACAGATGTTTCTGGCAGTGAAACCTGACCCAGAAAAATGAGAATGTTAAGACACAATGTGTTTCTGCCTACTGCAAGGTCTTATAAAGCAGAAATAAAGGCTTATTTGATGCTCCCCCTGTCAGAAAACTAGAAATGATCCTTTCTGCTAATGCTTTAGTATTTATTATCAGAAAGCCCCAGAATACTATGTTAACACTTAGGTGGGGCAGGGGCTGGGGGAGTACAGTGCAGACAAGTAAACCAGAAGCTTGTTTATAAAAGGTGATTGAATGATAACAGCATAATGAAGAAGCAACAGAAACAAGCACCAGCAGGTACCTTTTAACTGACACCTACAGAAAAGTGGTCACTATCAGCTGACAAGTAAGGAAATCGGACATAACCTCAAAGGAGCATTCTTACATTAAAAGCATGGGTCAATATTATGACTATCTTTTAAAAACTCTGACGTCAATACCTTGTGTCTCATCCCTCTCTGCAGATGGTGGATATAAACCTTGAACCAGAACTAAGGAATCTCCACTGAGGGGGCAGATAGCAAATGAACATTCTGAGCTTTTCCCATAAGATCCACTCAAAACACAAGAATTTACTATGCCTTACGCTGCTACATATATTTACCAAATAACTGTATTTTCTTCCCAAATGTACTATAAACACATATAGGGCAGTTTGATCCCAAGTAAACTCTAAGTCAGGGGTGTCAAACTTATTTTCACTGGGGGCCACATCAGCCTCACGGTTGCCTTCAAAAGGCTGAATGTAATTTTAGGACTGTGTAAATGAAACTACTTCTTAAAACAGTTAAGCGAGAGCTCGGCACCTGCCAGGTAGAATCAAGGTGCCAGGCCAGATAAAACAAGGTGGGGGGCCTGATTCGGCCTGTGGGCCTTGTGTTTGCCACCTGTGCTTTAAGTGTTCCAGGAAAGAACAGGGCTATTTAAATCCATACTTAGATATTTTCTTATAGTCCCAGGAAAAAAGCAGCCTTCATTCTTGGACATGACAAAAGTTAGGAAGCTTTCTTAAAAGGATGGGACTAGAAGACAGCATATGACCTAGACTAGGGTCAGATCAGTACCTAGGATAAGCAGCTACATAACAAAGGCTAGCAAATACTCTTGGAAATACAAGCATTTTTAAACTTCTGTACCATCCAGAAGTTTTCAAGTTCACTATAACCTACCTACTACTAAGTAAAGCAAAATAAAAAAGCCTGTGGTGGCAGTTGCTCCTATAATCACTACTAGTCTCAGAAAGGGAAACAGTTTCTCTCTGAAGAGCTGTGCTCTTTCCTTAGTTTGCCATATACCAGCTATTTTACACATCATCATAAATTAAGGGACTAACTAAGAATACCAGCTCTCTTTATTTTCTAGTTGTGTCTGTGAAACGAAATGACAAAAGCACTGATGCTCAATTACAGAAATTTCATCAGAATCTCCAGGGGAAAAAATAGAGGGAAGTATGTGTGCATAATTTGGTGGAAGCGGATGTACCATTAACTGCAAATAATCTACCAAAAAGAGAACAAAGAAGTCAGCAGCTGTGTTCCCAGCAAACCTGGAGGAAGAGAAACCAATCTCAAAGGCAGGTTTAGAAATGCAGGTAGCACACTCAGGGAAGAAGCAAAGAAGGAGGTGAGGGAGCAAATGACACCACTGTATACACACATACAACACAGGAAGACAGAACAAACCAGAATGGATACTAATTTTAAGATCTAGTGGACTCACAGCTGAGAAAATAAATCCTGTTTAATTAATATTATTTATGTACTGTTATATAATATGTATTCATTTTTACTCTTTAAACACTATTACTCAGACCCTCCATAAATTCTCACTTCTCTTTATGAATCCCTCTGGAACTACTTGCGATTTTGAATAAGGTTCTATATCTAAAGTGCTAAAAGTGACCTGAGCCCTGACTAGTGTGGCTCACTTGGTTGGGCATCATCCCCCAAAGAGAAAGGTCACAAGTTCAATTTCCATTCAGGGCACATGCCCTGGTCTGCAGGTTGGATCCCCAGTCAGGGTACCTACAAAAGGCAAGAGACCAATGTTTCTTTCTCATGTTAGTGTTTCTCTCCCTCTCTTTTCCCTCCCTTCCCCTCTCTTTCTAAAAATAAATAAAGAAACTCTTAAAAAAGATAAAAAATATGCCCTGGCTGGTGTGGCTCAGTGTAGAGTGCCAGCCTGCTAAACAAAAGGTCGCTGGTTTGATTACCAGTCAGGGCACGTGCCAGGGTTGTGGGCCAGATCCCCAGTTGGGAGCGCGAGAGAGGCAACTACACATTGATGTTTCCCTCTCTTTCTGCCTCCCTCCCCATCTCTCTAAAAATAAATATAATCTTAAAAAAAAATAAAAGTGACCTGAAATGGGAAAAATAAAACTTGAGAAATTCCAAGTAAGAAACATTTTATTTACAATCTAATTTTATTTACAATCTAATCAATGTCACAGTAAGCTAAAATAATGTTAAGACCATTTTTTAGACCATGTAATTTTAAAAAGCCCTACAAAATAAAAAATCAAGTACTCTTGCTTACCATAAATTACATTCTCTTCCCTTATGCACATTCTTCTTGGACACATAAGCTTTAAACTGTTTTTATAAGAGAAGTAACACCTATATATTCATGGATAGCCCACAGCTGATCAACAATACCCATTTGTGAACTGGTTGAGAATGGGTGGGCAATTTGTATTCAAGCCTACCCAAGTGAAGCTAATAGCCTGTCTGAAAAGTGAACCCATAACCTTTGTCTCATTAGCACTGAGCTCCAGCTGTTAAAGATTCAAACACTAACTTGGATTTAAAGGGGAGAGGAGGAGGCAGTAAAACACTAACAACAGGGAGAAAATTTATACAATCAAGTCTATGCACAATTTTTATTAATGGAAACCAGCTGCAAGAATGCACGATGCAGTTTTCAGTATTTGAGCCTGGTGGGAATACTGATGGTTTCTTTCTATTCCAAGTTTCCATTCTGAAAGGAAGGCACTTTAATTCATTATTCCCTCAGAGTCCTTGTAACTCCTAAGAATACCTTTGTGAAATAATTGCTCTAGATCCCAAATTATCTATGTACTAGGAGGTATCTGCTGTGGCTTTGAAAAGCCATTCAAAGTCATTCCTTATATAAAAGTCATGCATCCACCACGGGAATAAGGTATTCAAAACTCTGTTTTAAATATTACAGCTTCATTCAAAGTTGTAAAATTTAAGCTTCATGCTCAATATCAAAGACATATACCACTTACCAAACTCTGTGATAAAATATTCACCACTGGTTATTTCCGCCATAATTTTATTCTGACTGCCACAACTTAATTCTACCATTTGTTAAATATATTTTCCCAAACTCTGGTTAATTACTCTTTCTCCTAGCACAGCTCTAGTCAATTTAAAACCTGTTTGCATGTAACCACCTCAATACTTATATATTCCACCATCTGCCCCCAATACCAGAAACAACAAAAAAGCTATACACACATGGGCTTTGTTTTCTTGACATGACTACCAGCTTTTCCAGAATAGATCTTATATAATATCTGATTTGAGCAGAAAATGCCCCTAGGAAATTCAGATAGTGGCTTTTACCCAAACTGAAGAAAATCATTCACATAAGCTTTTAAGACTAAAATGAGATGAATACCCATTTCTCATTACAAGTATAAGTCAGAAATCCTAGGGTTAGGTACAAGAAAATATATAATTATTATAATCCTCAAGTAAAAATTGAGTAAAATTCCTGTAAAAGATACCTCTAGAACCCAGACAAAAGGCAAGAATATTTGCATTAAATTACTATCAATTTAAAACCATTATAAGACTGGTTTTAAAATTAAAAAGCAAAAAAAAACAAACCTCAATTTTGTCTGTTTTGGCATCTCCCCAGTATATTTTGCCTTCATCATAATCCAAGGCTAAACCATTTGGCCACCCAAGAGAAGTGTTAACCAACACTACTCGGTCAGAACCGTCCAGAGCTGCTCGCTCAATTTTTGGGATTTCTCCCCAGTCAGTCCAATACATGTACCTATAGAAGTATAAAGAAAATGAGCTAAAAACAGATAACGAACTGTAGCTTTTAGTGTCCTAAAGGTGAGGTCCACCCCTCATATCACACTGGTATCATCAATTAATATCATACAAAGGAATAAAAGCACAGCGCTTAAACATACCAAGAGTATGTTTAAGACATTTTTAATAGTAGCATGTAAGCTTATAGGAATTTTCAGACTAAATATTTGTCTCAATTTGACAATAAAAATGCCTTCCAATAATGATATTCCATTTTTAGTCATATTTCTTCAAAATATTTTGTGTCCCTTTGTGTGAACAACCCTCTCTTTTTCTTGCTTGTTTGTCATTTCTGACACAAAAAGGTTAACAGTCAGATTACAAACTGACTTCCAAAATAACTAATTCTCCCTGTAGTGCTAAGTGATTCTTCAGGCTCCTGGGAGTTTAAGTGGCACTAAGACACTGATACACAATAAAGTGTAATGATTTCCCACTATGTTCGCCCTCGGAATGAATCTCATAGTTAACAAATAACATTGCTGAGTTGTAGAAATCTTTGTTTTCCTCAACTGTGGCCAGGGTGTTATGACAAAAGGGAAAAAAAAAGACTGAAAGTCCAGCTACATGACCAGACAAGTTTTGAAAATGGATACATTTGTATATTTATAAATATATAACATAAGATCTTTTTTTACCATATCATTCTAGAAGTACAGCAAATGAGATGAAATTATGTCTTCTAGGGGAAGAAAAAGAGTTCTGAAAACAATTTCTTTCCTCATTTTTCATGGTCATGATGCAACCTCGGCAAAATCTGTAGCCAACTCCCAAAGTCAGCAAGCATGGACTTAATTTAGAATGAAAAAATATTCAAAAAATCCAAGGAAAAGAACTAGCAATTCTTTAAATTGAGATTCTATTACAATCACTATATTCTAAAAATGGAAAGCCATTAAAGAGCTATTTATTGGAAGCCATACATAATTCATATTGTTTTCTGTCAGTGTATTTAGGGACCTGTGGAAAACAGACACGCCAGGCAGAACTTTCTATCAGTGGAGCTTCTTACCCAACCATGGGATCTAACACAATAGCCCGGGGTTCCTCTAAGTCCTCTGAAATCAAGATCTTCCTCATGGTACCATTGAGCCTTGTCACTTCTATCCGATCAGTGCCAGTGTCTGTCCAATAAAGATTTCGGGCCACCCAGTCAACAGCAATACCATCAGGATGTGCAATCTGAGCGGTGACCACAAACTGACTGCCAGTCCCATCAATGAAGGAGCGGCGTATGGCCCTGACTTCGTCATCGGTCCAGTAGATATAGCCTTCCACAGGATCGTAATCGATAGCAATGGCATGGCGGATATCTTCTAACTGTAAAACGATGTCTGTGAAGTCTGGTGTATCCAAAGAAATGCGTCTCAAGTCTGTCCTTCGGGCTAAAAGCAGTAATTCAGTAGCGCCTAGAACAAAGTGGAATAAATGGGGGAGAAAAAAAGAATTGAAACCCACAGACAAAATTTAGCCACTCTAAAAAGGATGCAGAACTTCTTCAGGAATTGAAAAGTAAATGAGTATAAAAGGATACTGGAGTCTATTTAAGGTGAAAATGGACAGTAATGCAGTGAAACAGGAACAGCTGGACTGTGAGGTGAAGCTCTTTAATTCCTCAGCTCCCCAAATCAAGTTTTGATTACCTCTCTCATTTCATTCACCATATAGCCACTGAAAATAAAACAGCTACTTAATGGCACAATAAACAACAAGTAATGATTAAAACACTAAGCAGCCGAATGTTAAAGGAGAAAGGAGACAAAATACAGGTCCTGTGTTTAAGAAGTATGTTTTTAAAAAGGTAAGAAAATATAGGGCAAGGATCTTTTGTGATTGATGAGGGTGTTCTAAATTGGATTGCAATGGTTGCACAAATCTGTAAATTTACTAAAAATCATTGACTTGTACATTTGAAATGGCTGAATTTTATGGTATGTAAATTATATCTCAGTAAAGCTGTTTGGACAAAGATAATGTCTACTGTAAGATAGTTTATCTGGCAGAGAATTAGGACAAAGGAGGCTATGAAGAAGGAAAAGCAGCAGCAGAGAGAGGGAAATCAGGTAAATGTTAACACTGGTTAAAAGTAAGAGTTGTGAATCTACTAGAACTGGATTCAAGTAGCTATGCTACAAATTTAGGCAAAACGCCTAATCTCTCTAAGCCTAGTTTCTTCATATGTCACAAGGTTGCTGCAAGGACTCAGGAATGTACTGAACATAAAAGTATCCAATAAATATTAGCTAATAATTATTATTTTCATTAGAAAATACTTTCAAAATTTTACTTCACTGAGTTTTAAATCAGATTTATGAAATATTTTAAACTCAAATTAGTATTTAATAAAAACCTAGCTGAGACTGAGAATATTAAGCTCAATCTTTTTTTGTTTTGATTTGCAATGTTTAAGTAAATAACTAGCAAAAAGTCATCTAACTATAAAAGCTAATAAAAGATGGCAAGAAAACTGACATCTGAAGGAGTGAAAAAAGATTTCCAACTAAAGAAATGAATCCAAAGGAAAATACTGGCATTAAACTTCAATTATCAACCTGGAATTTTGATAAAATAATTGAAAAAAACTGGGAAGAGTAAAGTTCTCAACATCCATTTTCTGCATCTAGAATTAACTGTAAATGAATTCTATCTTGGAGAAAATATAGCCCTAAATGCCACAGCACGCACCAACCATAAAATTCACTGCCTCTGCTGTAACTACCAAAAGGAGCCAGCCCAAAACTCTGCAAACAAAGAAGTCACAGAAAGTGAAGTTGTTAATTTGAGCAAGGTGATGAAAATAGACTAGTTAACTTAAGGCTACTACATGTCAAATATATATCTGAATTGCATTTGCATGCTGTGAGAGAGTAGACAGACCACGACTGCTAAGAAAACAAACAAAAAAAGCCCTGTTTTAAAGCCAGGCTACATATTTTTAAACAAAAAAAGGAACATTACAAAAACCTTTTGTTTTAAATTGAAACCAAATTATTGTTTGCCATGGAAACCGTCTGACAAGAGTCAGCCAGCTTCACCTTTAGCTATGAAGATAATTTATCAATGCCAAGTCATGACAAATATCCTGTACACCAGCTCAATTCCATCTCTCCGACTTCCTGACCCCCTTGCCAGGAACTCTCTAACCAACTCTGAAATAAAGGCTTCTGCTTTTCAGAGTTAGATAAAGAAGCCACTGCTAAATAAAACAATTTTCCTACCAGGTCTTGCTGGTGGCTAGAGAGCCAGATGGTGATCCACAAGGGTAAGAATAAAGGATAACATCCTCATTAAGGGGAAAAAGAATGAACTGGTTCTCCCAAACCAGAAGCCCCCTGAAATGCCTACCTAGGTCAGTATACTTCTCAAACATACCCTCTCTTCAGAGTAGCGATTTTCAACCTTTTCCATCTCATGGCACACATAAACTAATTACTAAAATACTACAACATATGAAAAAATATTTTGCCGATCTGACGATAAAATAGGCATAATTTTGATTCATTCACACCAGATGGCTATTGTTGTGTTGGCTGTTGTCATTTTTCAATGATCTAAGAGAGAAAAGGTCAGTGTCCCGGACTACATAGTCAGGTATTGCACATTTTAAAATTCTTATGGCATACCAGTATGCCATGACATAACAGCTGAAAACTGCTGCCACAGAGAATTAACAAAGGAAGGAGAAGAGGCGGTGTAGCTGCCAAGTACAGAGAGAGGTTGCTTTAAACAGTACAATATGAAATTTTTTTTCTTCTTCTGAAAGCACTTCTCTGTCATTAAAAGGCAATTAAAAACCGTTCAATTATTTTTCAGAAAATATTCTTGATCTCACGATAGTCTTTATAGTTAAAAGTTTAATGAACATCTTTTCCTTGCACAAAGGTTCTTTATGTACAAATGCTATATAAATCTACTGTTAAAAATATATTCCTTACAGAATATTCATTCCCATAGGACTCAATTGTAATATAAATGACTAAGAAAGTTGACAGAGAAAAGAAATAGCACCTAATTCTTTTCAAAAATAGCATGTTAAAAATTCTAAAATAATTTAAAAAATAGTTTTCAAGAAGACCAAACCCACAAAACACTCCTGATATATAACCAACCAATTATGAACACTAAGATTAAGTAACAAGTCTCCCAAAGCACTATGACCTACAGAGCATGTTACCAAGAAATAAAATAAATCATAAAGAATCCTAATTGCTATTTAAAATTTTTCCTTCTTGAAGACCATGTTCTTACCATCTTTGCAAGTTTTCCCATCCTCCAGGAGTTTGACTCCAGTGGGGCAAGCACACTGATAAAAAGGCTTGACTGGAGACATCAAACACAAGTGGGAACAACCACCATTATCAATTCCACATGGATTGGTAGCTGTCAAATATAAATCACACTGATTAATACCAATGATTACAGATTATCTTCCTCACCCTATGTACACAAAGGTTAACAACCATAACATGAACAACTGTGATAAACCAAATTATTAACAAATGTCATCCAGGTGCTTCACTACTACACCATCTGCGAGGAAAGGAATTAATCTGTAAAATTTACTTAGCATTCAGAAGCCAAGAGGAATACACAACAAATAAAGCAGGATGTCCCTGCCCTCAAAGAGCTTACAATCTAGTCCGTATGACAAAATTAACAAACGATAAAACAAAACTGAATCCTATCTTGCACTTAATAGATTGTGTAAACAAGTATAGAGTCAAATGGGAAATAAATCACTAGGGATTTAAAAACAAAAAAAAGCTCCGCGGAAGATGGAGGACGTGACAGAAACCTTGAAGGACAGGAAAGATAGGTAACAGGGCATTTGAGTGTGAAATCCTATGAATAAGGGCTTGGAGGCCATACCCTGGCAGAAATAATAAGATAAACAGTCTCCCTGGAGATTAAGATTTCTGTTGACTAATAAGAACTAAATTTGAATGAGCACAGAGAATGGGAACAGACTGGCACAGGGCACTGAGGCCAAGAAAAGTAATTCCAATGTTGAAAAATCATACTTCAGAAAGATTATCATGGAAAAAATAAGCATATGGATTAAATAAGAGAAAACTGAGAGCAGAGATTAATTAGCAAATCTGTAGAAACTATTAAAAGAAATGGATTTAAATAATATTCATAGAAAGAAATCAATGTAAGATAGACCAACACAATATGAAAGATAAAAAAAAAGTAGTAACAGATAATTGCAAATTCCAAACTAGTAAAGCATAAAGGATTAAAAGTGCCAGTAAAAACAAAAAGAAATCAGGAAAATTCCTTCCTAAGGGCTAACCATGAGAATAAAAAATTCATACAAATGACTGAACATTTTTTTTACAAAAGGGTAACACATACATTTAAAAACATTTTTATGTACTCATAATCACAAGATTCCAATATAACAAATGCAACATTTGATTATGTTGCCTAAACTAATACAAAGCAATGTATAATCCAAAAACCCTTCATTTCTGGCTATGTAATACAATCAGACACACGCCAAACATTTATTTACACACAAGTGCCAAGCACTTAACATTTTCAAATTCCTTTAAACCTAATTCTATTCCCCTTTGTAAGTTAGTAAGTCATTGTAAAACTTGACCAAAAAACTAAAGCAAAACTAAGAAAAATGGGGATGGGTGTGAACAGAAAAGTCTAAGTAGATATTTTATTCAGCAATCTGAGTTACTTAATCAGTTAGATTAACAGAAGGGTCCATTCAAGAAAAATTTGTTTTCAAACATACTCATATGAAACATCAAACACACATTAGAGAGACATAATATGAACAAGAAATACATTTGTGTATGAGCTATCTCAATTTCTTATTTTATTTCCTTCTTCTCTACCTCCAAACTCTAAATCCAAACAAGGGGCTGAGGTAATCTTTAGTTACAGATATCAAGCTACAAATGGTTTAGGCTGTTGTTTAACCTGCATTATATTTTGATGGTTTCCCTATTTCTTAATCCCTCCCTGCTACCTTTGGATATGCCCTCCCTCCTCCTGCCTCTCCAGAACGCCAGACATCACAGTTCTACAAAGCTATTTCAACTTGGAATTTAAAAATCAAGATCACTTACCATTTGGCTGCCTCTGTTGGCTGAAGGCATGTATATCCATGGGAGAGAAGATGTTAGAATGGATTTCACGCAGACCCTCGCCAGTGTACTTGTTGCAAGCCAAAATGGAGTGTGTGTTCCAGTCAGTCCAGTACAGCGTGTCCTCAAATAACGTCAAGGCAAAAGGATGTGGAAGGGAACCTTTAACCACTGCCTGCCTATTAACACAAAGAGAAAAACTCAAACGTTTCTAAATTTTACTCTGTCATCAAAACTTTCTCTCTCCATTAAATGGTTTTGTAATCCACATTAACACATACAAATCCTGAATAACACATATCTTATGGTCAAATACACCTGTGAAAAATAAGTCACATAGTAAATTCAAATATATTTGCATGGTGTCTAAATCCCCCAAACCAAGTATTTCAGAGTAGTCTCCAAATTGGTAGCAGTTCCCAGGTTCACTACAAATTAACAGAGAGAGAAGGCCCAAGTACTAGTACTGCTGTCTACTCCTATCTCTGGACTCACATCTTCCATCCTTCCACATAATTCATCTTGTTAGAAAAAGAAAGGCAGGCAAAAAGAAAAATCCTACACTTTACAGTTGGCACTGGGAAGTAGTTTTATATCAACAATAGGGTTTTTTTCCCTTCTTGATGTGGAAGAACAAAGAACCTAGGCTCATTTCTTCCACTATTTCTTATGGTTTTGATAAATGAAACAGTAAAATCATACACACGAGGCTAAAAAGGCATTCTGGTAGAGCTTTCTCTGCAAACCCCAGTCCAGCTCCAGTGAAAGGTCATCTCAGCTGGCCTTCTGCTATATGGTTTAACACCAACAAGTCATGTAGGAAAAAGGAAGACCTGCCACTGGCAGAATGTGTTCATGAGGCAAAGCACACCAAAGAAACGTCACAAGCAATCTATACTATGTGAAAGAAAAGGTGGAGAGCCTGATTAGTACTAAAGGCACAGAACTTTGCAGAGTGTCATGGACAGTTATACTATCAGTAAATGTTATTTTTTTTAATCCTTACCTTAGGACATTTCTTTTTCATTCCTTTTAGAGAGAAAGGGAAAGAGACAGAGAGAGAGAAAGATATCTATGTGAGAGAGAAACATCGATCAGTTGCCTCTCGTACACGCCCCAACCTGGGATCAAACACGCAACTAGGTATGTGCTCTGAACAGGAATCAAACCCACAACCTTTTGGTCTATGGGACAATGTTCCAGCCAACTGAACCACACCCGCTAGGGCAGTGAATACTCTTGAATAATGAACAAAAAAATGTTCTGAGCCAAAATAGTATTCAAGAAAACAAATGCTTTGTTTGACATTTTCACAATATCAAATGTAATATTTTCATAAATTGCCCAAGGGGGGAAGAAAAAAGGGAAGGAGGTAGGGAGGAAAAATATAAGTAAATGAAGAGAAATAAAGAGTATCACCTATTTTAGGGAAGACAACCCAATTTTAGGTCCTTGAAGGAGACTACCAGTTAAATAAATTGAGAGCAATAAAATAACTTTTACCCAAGCAGAATTACCATCTGTTATTGCACATGAAATGGTCCTAGCCCTAAGGTGTTTCACATTTGAAGCAAATTTTTAAAAACTGAATACAAGATTAGCATGACTAGTTTAATAAACAAACTTTCTATTTTGGAACCTCATACCTACTCTGCCAGCCCACATCACCACCATTTTCTCCTCAGTTTTCTAATTTTCTCTTCCCTAAAAATTACTCATCTCTCTCATTTCATAAAGAGAATTGTCACAATGTCTATTTCTGAAATGGTTTCCTCCACTTTTTATTAAGTTCATTAAAGTGATCGTGACATTTATATGAGTGATATCATAGCTTGAGGCCAAATTTAACCAGGCCTGTATATTCCACACTAAAGTCTTCCAAAATTACTTATGGTAAGACATAAAAAGAATTCTGAGAAGCTGCCAAGAAAGAAAAGTAACACAACTGAAAAATAAAGAATTAAAAAAACTACTCAGCATTTCTTTAACAATTTTTTTAAACTGTAAATTACATAATCAGATCTTTGAAAAATTGGGGGGAGAAAAAGCCTATGTCCTTTGTATGTTATTAAGTAAAAGATTAAAATTCACTCTATTGAACTCAACATAAGAGACTAAACAAACAGGAAAACAATCTAAACTCCCTCCCTACAAAATATACTCATTTCATATTCTGATTGAAAACATTTATATACATTGATAAGAAATCAAACAGAGCTAGGTTCAAATGTTCCTGATACTACTTATCTCATTTCTGCAAGCTTTGCTTTCCTCCTCTGTAAAGGGAAGATAATAATCTAAACTCACCGATTTATTGTGAAGATTATATGATAATACCATCTGTAAAAGCATTTAGCATTATGTTTGGTATTTAATAAACATTTCATAAACTCAATTTTAGGATATGTTTTTAATATTTTAATATTTCTGATAGAAGGGCAACATTTTACAAGTGAAGTGAAATTTCATGTGGTAGTACTTAAATCAATAAAAAATTCTTAAAGTCAATTAACTTCTTACAATGAAGTAAATACCAGACTCTGGCTTATTTATATTCCCCAGAATCTCACACAACATTATGCATACAAATTAGGTATGCAAATTATTTATTAGGAATGCTCAGTAAAATTTCATTTCTTAAATAAAATAATATAACAGAGCTGAACAAAAACCAGAGCTGAAAAGGCTAGCACAGGTTCTTGCCATATTCTTTGGTCATTTACTGGTTTGTCTAGTCAATGGCGACTTGTTCCTTAAAGCGGAGATAGCTGTACAGAGCGTTCACCTTTCTTCTCTCTGATGGGGATTATCAAGCAGGCCTGCCACTTGGGTTTCCCCTGGAACGCAAGTAACTGCAAGCCGGAGTTGGTCATGGGCACTGAAAACCAAGTGGCAGGCAAGATCAAAGTTCGGTTTGTCAGTAGTATGCGTCAACAATAACGGGAGTTAAAAAATAGACCTCTACCATGGAGACCAATATATTGTAAATAAATACCACAACTAACAGCCATTGTCCTATAAAGATACAATTCAAAGAAAAGAAAAATGTTTTCTTTTTATCATGAGAACTCAGGATTAACTTTCTTATATATTATTACACAGCAGTATACTCTAGTCATCCTGTTGTACATTACACCCCTAAGGAGGAATTTTTAAAGATCAAAAAGAAATAGGAAAAGAGATTTCTTTTAAAAATAAAATACTCAAAGCACAAAGGAAAGGGGAGAGAACAGAACTATACTGGACCAAGAAAAATGACACTAAATAGCTCAAACCTTCATGAAAACTCGAAGTACCAGAAACAACAAATATATAAGTTAATAAAAGACTCTAATGTTTTCTCCTTTTTTAACCCTTTTAAAAACACACAAGATTGTATAAAGCAATAATTATAATATTGTGCTGGTCATAAAAGAAGTGTAATATAAAGGACAATGATAGCATAAAGAGGGAAGAAGGAATGAAAGTACACTAGAGTTAAAATTTCTATACTTTTCAGGTATTAATCTAGTATTCCTGTAAAGTAGATTTTGACAAAATGCACATTTCAATCCCTAGAATAATCACTCAAGATTGTTTAATCCCAAAAATACAGTTTAAAGAAAATCAACAAAGGAAAATGATATTCAATACAAAGAAAGGCAGAAAAGAAGAACCAGAGGAATAAAAAAACATATATAAAAAACATATCAAAATGTCAGATGTTAACCTGATCATATCATTAGTAACATTAAATGTGAATGGATTAACTATCCAATCAAAAGGCAAAAGGTTAAACACCTAAATATATGTATACAGGTGACCCTTGAACAACATGGGGATTAGGCACACAGACCCCAGAGCACTTAAAATGCACATATAACTTTTGAGTCCTCTAAAACTTAACTACAGTTGTCCCTTGGTATTCTGGGACAACCTAGATACCAAAATCCACGGATGCTCAAGTCCCTTTAAAAAATGGCACAGAACAATGCATATAGTCAACCCTCCGCATCTTTAGATTCCCAGCCACCATGATTAAAACTACACTTTTTGAGCTGCACTTGGATGCAAAAGCAGGAAACACCGATGGCTAATTGTATATTTACTGAAAAGAAAAAATCCAGGTATTAAGTGGACTTGTACAGTTCACACCCAACTTGCACAATTGTTCAAGAGTCAACTGTATATAAAAGATAAAGGTGGTTAGTAAGATTCAACTATGTTGTCTATAAGAGACACACTTTTTATTCAAAGATACGAATTTGTCTAAAGTAAAAGGGTACAGCCAAAAGTAACCAAAAGAGAGATGGAGTAGTTCTATAATACAAAACACACTTTAAGGAAAAAATATTACTAGAGGAAAAGAAGCATATTTTATGACAAAGGGTCAAATCATCAGGAGAACAGAACTATAAACATATATGCATATAAAAATCAGGGCCCCCCAAAACAGAAAACTGCACCTGAACAACAATTAAATAAAAATGATATAATAATTAATAAATAATAATAGAATTAAAAAAAATAAATAAAAGTCAGGGCCCCCCAAAACAGAAAACTGCACCTGAACAACAATTAAATAAAAATGATATAATAATTAATAAATAATAATAGAATTAAAAAATAAATAAATAAAAATCAGGGCCCCAAATGAAGTACTCTCTAACAGGACCAACGAAATGGACAATGCAAAAATAACCATCTAAGAACTCAACATCCTATTCTCATTAAAAGACAGAACAAGAAGACAGAAATCATTAAGGAACTAGAAATTTGAACATTATTAACTACTTTAACCTAGCATCTACAGAAGACTCCATCCAACAAGAAGAGACTACACATTCTTCGAATTATACACAAAACTTTCTCGAGAAAAGACGACATGCTAAGTCACAGAAAAGGTATTAATTTAAAAGACTGAGGTTACAGAAAGTACATTCCCCAATAGCAGTGGAATTCACTGAGAAATTAACTACACAAAAAATTTGGGAGTTCCACAAATGAGAATTTTCTAAATTCTAAATACTTCCTCAATGTTTTCTAAATAAGCAATGAGTCAAAGAAGAAATCACAAGAACATTTTAAAAATATTTTGAGGTTAAAAAAATATATATAACATACAAAAGTTTAAGAGGAAAAAGTTTATGGAATGCCATCAAAGGATTGCTTAGGGAAAATTCCATAAATTTACCCCTGA